TAAATTTTCATAAAAAAAATATACGTATAGAACTATAAATAACCAATTTTCTTGTGGAATCCAACGGCGTAGCCCGATCATCAATTTAGTCTCTCGGTCTCTCAAGAAGTTCCATTTCTCACAGGCCCCGCAGTTCGTCGAAAAACAGAAAACTTCAGTTGCTTATATTCGGCGGTCGACTTGATTAATGGTGGGGATACACATTAGGATTTCTCAACAAAATAATTTTCTATATATATATTTTAAATCTAGCAGTTGGATCTTTACAAGAACTTGAACACTTTAAGCCGTATTTCATAAAAAAAAAAAAAGTTAAATAAATCTTTAACGATGATTTTGACAAAGTTCAAGATATCATATAAAAATGATGAAATAAACATTACTGTTGGATAAGTTGAGTCAAGAACTATAAAATAGAATATAATTTGTTGAAATCCGTCACGTGGAGACAACAGACGACCATCAAACTGTATTTTTATGATTGGACCAAAAGCCATTAATTTTAAAAATTCAGTGACCAAAATTGATCAAGTTGGAGCATTGGGTACAAAAAGCGAAAAGATGTTATATTTGGGGTACCAAAAGTGATTTTTTCCCCTTAAATAATAACCTAAACAATATATATATATATATATATATATATATATATATATATATATAATTACCCATTTTTGTAATTGATCTCGAATAAAAAGTAGTAGGTGACTCGTGTGATGTAGAAGAGAACATTATTACAGTTGTATTAGAAATTAGATATATAAATAACATGAACAATCCATCAATTATCGTATATTAGTAGAAGTTATTGTACAATATCATTCACATAAATATTAACAAAATGCTATATAAATATCGTAAATTATTGAACATGTTTTGATATAAGTATTGAACTTGTTTTCATAAAAGCATTCTTGATTTAATTTTTTTGACTACATTATATATTTTGTAGTAAGTATTCATAATATTGAAATTTATATTTAAATTTAATAATCGATTGGGTCTGGTCAAATTGACAAATAACTTGGTCACATGAGATTCTAAGTTGTGTCACAATTCTTTTTTACTATTTTACAAATGACCTTTGTAGTGAACCAGTTGTTGTGGAATTTTTATTGTAATTTAATATTTGGATTTTTTTGAGAAGTTGATTTTGGTAGGAGAATTTTTGGGAAGAAGATGAGGAATAGGGAGAGAGAGAGAGTAGAGTAAGAGAGAGAAAGAGAATATTTCAGTTGGCAACCATAATGCCGTCACTCTTCATTTCCACCATAATATTCATAACAAATTGGTCCCACACATTTTGTTTTTCACCAAACATTTTACCCAAATGAATTTGGGCTCATTACTAAATTAAACAGAAAATGAAATAATAAAATAACAATGCATCAACCAAGTGGACGGCCCGGATCAAGGCGAGATCACTGCCCCAGATGACTCCACGTGCCCATTGTCCTCATCATCTCCATCTGTTCCGACAAAAGTCTTATCTGCTTCCAACTCGTTTCTGTCCTCAATTTCTTCATTTCCCAGTGAACCCAATTTATCATTTTGAGAAGAAACATCATCCTCCCCCCAATTCACAACAATTCCGCCCCCATTTTTAGATCCTTGTCCCCAAGGATCATAATCCTTAAATTTTTTGGCCATGTACTTCTCATCTTCCCAAGAGGTAAGCCCTAGCTCGCGGTCACCCAAAACCACAAGAATTTGGCCAACATTTTCCTTTCCCCGAGTAACAGTGCGCCTGTTGAGGACCTCTGTAGGACGGATCTGGAAAAGACCATCTGCATCTGGAACGGGTAAGTCCTTTGCAGTCGATCCCTCTTTTCCCAGTTTCCTTTTGAGTAAAGAGACATGGAAAACGGGGTGTACTCTTGATCCTTCAGGCAATCTAAGTTTATAAGCGACTTTTCCAATCCTTTCCATAATCTCGTAGGGCCCGAAGTACTGGGAACTGAGCTTGAGGTTCTTGCGGAGCTGAACTGAGTTTTGCCTATAAGGCTGTAGCTTAAGGTAAACCCATTCCCCAACAGCATATTCTTTCTCAACTCTAAATTTGTCTGCATAGGCCTTCATGCGATTTTGAGCTGCATTGAGATTTTCTTTGAGGTTTTGCTTCATGATCTGTCTTTGTCTGTTTAATTCCCTTGCATCCTGATTGTTGGATTCTTGGTAGGCCCTCATAGTAAAATTAGGAGGATTATAGCCATAAAGTGCATAGAATGGGGTAGTTTTGAGAGAAGTGTGGTAATTGGTATTATACCAAATTTCAGCAAGTGATAACCATTTCAGCCATTGTCTGGGGTTATTGTGAACCATGCACCTCAAATAGTTCTCTAAGCACTGGTTCAACCTCTCTGTCTGTCCATCAGACTGAGGGTGATAGGATGAGGTAAAATTCAATTTGACCCCCATTAACTTGAAAAGCTCTCTCCAAAAATTGCTAGTGAATACCTTATCTCTGTCAGATAGAATTGAAACAGGCAGTCCATGTAGCTTGTATATGTTGTCCAGGAAAACCTGAGCTACCCCTTGTGCAGTAAAAGGGTGTGAGAGAGCAATAAAATGGCCATACTTTGTGAATCTGTCCACTACCACTAGGATAGAGTTCTTGCCCCCAGATTTAGGAAGTCCCTCTATAAAATCCATTGCTAAATGTGACCAAGCCTCATTAGGAATAGGCAGTGGTTGTAAAAGGCCAGCTGGTTTCTCATGTAGGTGCTTATTGGTGTGACAAACATCACAATTCAGAACAAATTCCATCACCTCATTCTTCATTTTAGGCCAGAAGAATATTGCTTTGAGCCTTCTGTAAGTACCATTAATGCCAGAATGACCACCATAAGCTGAGTCATGCATAGCTGATATAAGCTGTTGTTTCACAGTTGGGTCATTTCCCACCACCATTCTGTCCTGATATTTGATTACACCATTCTGGATTTTAAGCAGTCCTACATCAATGGCCTTCCAACTGTCACTTTTCTGTGAGTCTTTCCCTTCCAGAAAACCTTTGAGGAAGTCATCCAATTGGTAGCTTCCTTTTATTCCTTCAATCCACAAAGGTGTAGCTGTAGTGATTGCCTCACAGGTCACCTCTTCATTCATTCTTGACAAGGCATCAGCTGCCTTATTTTCTTTCCCTTTCCTGTATTGAATTTCATAGTCCATGCCCAATAATTTAATGATTCCCTTCTGTTGCCAAGGAGAGACCACCTTCTGCTCAAGTAGATATTTTAAGGCCTGCTGGTCTGTTCTTATCACAAACTTGTGCCCCTGTAAATAATGTCTCCACTTTTGCGCAGCTAGGAGTACAGCTAAGAATTCCCTCTCATATACTGAGAGTGCCTGATTTTTGGGGCAAAGTGCCTTGCTCAGAAAAGATATGGGCCTCCCCCCTTGCATAAGTACAGCTCCAATGCCAATGCCACTGGCATCTGTTTCTACAATGAAAGGTTGTGAGAAGTCAGGTAGGGCTAGGACAGGAACTGTAGTCATAGCCCTCTTTAAATTGTTAAAAGTTGTTTCAGCCCCATCATTCCAATGGAATTGGTCTTTCTTAAGTAGAGAGGTAAGTGGTTTGCTGATAACTCCATACCCTTGCACAAACCTCCTATAGTAGCCAGTAAGGCCTAAGAATCCCCTCATCTGTTTGACTGTTTTTGGTCTTGGCCATTGCAGCATTCCCTCCACCTTCTTAAGATCTGTGGCAACACCATTTTCTGATATAATATGCCCCAAGTATTCTACACTAGTGTCCCCAAATTGACATTTACTCCTCTTAGCATATAGGGAGTTGTCTTTCAACAGCTGTAGAGTTTTCCTTAAGTGGTCCAAATGCTCTTCCCAGGTTTGGCTGTAGATTAAGATGTCATCAAAAAAGACCAGCACAAACTTCCTCAAACAGTCTGAAAAAACCTGATTCATTAGAGATTGAAAAGTAGCAGGGGCATTGCAAAGGCCAAAAGGCATAACCAAGAACTCATAGTGTC